TGATGTTGAACAAAACAACTTTTAAATGAAGCACAAAAGGCAAAGGACATTTTTTTCTCCCCTGAGCTGCAAGTATAGGTTGTTGGTTCAGGGGTAAATAAATGGAACCTTTTAATGTTTTTGTTTTCTTTCCTTCAGGACTCCGAGGCTCTGATTGTCCGCCAGGTCAGTTTCCTTGTGTGGACTCTGTTGGCTGTGTTAAAGCGTCGGCCCGCTGCGATGGACAAAAGCAGTGTCCCACTGGCTCCGATGAGGAGAACTGTCCAGTCACAGAGGGCTGCCTGGACTCTGACTGGACATGTCAAAATCACATCTGCATCCCTAAAGAGCTGAGGTGCAATGGAATAGATGACTGCATGGACAACTCTGATGAAAAGGACTGTGGTGAGGAAAATGCCCTAACAAGAAACTAAATGTCATTCTGTGTATTTGTGACACTTTCTAAACAAAACTACCAAAAGTCACATTTTTCCATTACAGATCCAGCTATGCTGTAACAATTCTTTAAATATTTTGGATTTTTATCATCCACTAAGACATATATATATATAGACTCATTTGTTCTGAGATATATATATATATATATTAATTAAAGTTAAATGGGGACATAATCATGTTAAATGTACTGAAATACAAATCAAGGCTATCAGCAGAGGTAAATCCAGATGACCAGAGGTAAAATGGCAGATTTTTGGATGGAATCAAAAACGTTTGAGTTAAAGTGTGAATATACCTTTTCATGCACTGATGCATCATGCAACTAAAAATGAACATTTAAATCTTTATCCTGATTCTTAAAAAGGTTAATGTATATATTTTTCTCCCAGATTTGTGCAGTGAGGGCAGCATACGGTGTCCTGAGGGGACATGTCTATCTGCTGACGAGCAGTGCGATGGCACGTTTCACTGTTCTGATGAAAGCGATGAGCCCATAACCTGCGGTACGCTTGATGCAACTCATTATCACAAAAAACACTAATATACAATGGTTTTTGTCTATTAAGTCGTCTTCTGTGACGCTGATGCTTAAAATTCCGCCTCCTGCAGGGCGTGCCTGCGTTATGGACAATGGTGGATGTAGCCATGTGTGCACTGACGAACCTAGGGGAGTTCTGTGTTCTTGTCCTGCTGGATATAAGCTGTCTCCTAATGGAACAGACTGTGAAGGTGTGTGGGACAAGATGATGACAGTTTACCTTCAATACTAGGTTTTATAGCAGAAACCAAAAGAATGCTAAATTAAAGAAAGAATAAAGGTTTTGAAGTACGAGGTGTCCGTGTCCTTCTAAAGGAGCAGATGATTCTTTAATCCCTGATCCTGTTTTCATGCAACTCCAGGAGTAATTGATATCTGCGACTTTGTAATTTTCCAGATACATTTTTTTAAATGCATGCTGGCACATGTTTACTCTTAATTTCTTACAGATTTGGATGAATGTGCTCCACCTTTCGACCCCTGTGCTCATCACTGCAGTAACACCATCGGTTCTTACTATTGCTACTGCAGAGAGGGATTCAAACTAAATGAAAACTCAACATGTGTGGCTTCAGGTGAAGTGAAAGTGTTTTTCCTGTTTATAAAATTGACGCTACATTCTGTCAATATAATGTTCCACCAATTTGTTTGGTACCAACTTGAGTCAAGGACTTTGCTAGGACAAAGCTAATGGGTGTAAGGCCTTTGTTATGCTGTCAGAATCCGTTCTGGATTTGGTTTCGTCCTCTTAAACGATCAACACCAACATCAAAGTGCACTTATGATGTCTGATTAATGATATGCTAATAGGTGACTTTGATGTCGGTAAGGTGGTGACAAAAGCTATAAACTCTGTTTGATCAAGGACAAAGAGCAGTTAGGTAATCAAAGACTTTTCCTGTAGATGCAAATTTATCAAGTGAGGCCTTGATGATTAAATGAATCACATGAATTATTGGATAAGGGTCACTAACGGTGTCCTGTATGAATCTGCATTTACAGCTAATCCTGTCCGATTGCTGCTGGTTGGGGGGACAGCTTTAGGATTATTGAATGTGAAATCTCAACAGTTTGAAATTATTCAGAGTTCAACATTTGACTCTGTGGCCTTGGCGTTTGATGTTGCGCGGGGGTGGTACTACTGGGCTGACAGCCGTGGCAACATTTACAAAAGTGATGGACAGCAAAGCTGGACAGCCTATACTGGTTGGTTTACTCTTTAATTCAAGAACGTATCCTCACATTAAATTGTTTCTTGCATATTTTTATTTTTTTCGTAGTTATATTCTACTTGCCAACCATTAATTTATTTGTTTATTGTTCTTAAACAGGGGAGCCTGGTATCAAAGGCTTAGCTTGTGACTGGCTCAGTGGGAATCTGTTCTGGACCAACAAGAAGACGGAGTCAATCTACCTGCAGAGTTCTGATGGAAAAAGTTACACTGCTCTGCTCAGCAAAAACATCAGGCCCTCAGAGCTGGTCGTTATGCCTGTAGAAAGGTCTGTATGGCTTATCTGCTACATGTGACTGAATTTTAAAGTGATCAAATTAGATATTTCATTCGGGCATAATGGTGGATAAAGGTCAACATTTTAGGGTATGTCAAATACAGGAGATGCAGTTACTATTTTACACGTTGATGAAAATCGATGATGCACTGCTTAGTGCTGCTTATTCATATTTGCTGCTTTCTGCCTCCCAGCTTGATGTTCTGGATCAATACGGGTCCAGGTGACAGAGCAACAATAGAAAAGTCTTGGATGGATGCCTCAGAAAGAAGCTCTCTGGCAGTCATCACTGCTCAGTCTGCCCACAGCCTCACTGCTGATGTAGCTGCCAGACGGCTGTACTGGATCAGTGATTTTAAGAGGGTGAGATTTGGATCAAAAGCCCAAATGTTCTCCATCACAGTTCATCACACACGGGGCCTGTTGCATAGAAACCATTTTTATTTGCTGCTTTGTTCCTGATCAGAAGTACTCAGATTTTTTTTCTCATTATTAGAAATAATTAAAATAATAAAAAAAAGAAAGTTTACATATCTGGGACTAGTTCGGTCACTCCTGGGCATGTTTTGATTTTATTTATTATAAATAAATGCAAATGCCACCCCTGTGGGATACACTTGAAATCAAAAAGCATTTACTTTACGCTCTTTAAAGTTAATAATAATCTAAAAAAGTTTGTCTGTGTGCCCTACTTTTTTTTTTTTTCTCACCACATGCCACCGTTCTTTTTACCCCAACAAGTCTTTTTATCCTGAAGCTCTCAGATATGTTTTTCTCTGTATTGCACATGTGAGATGGTAGGAGAATTTGAAAAGCGTTAACTTGGATTTTGTGAAGTAGTTCATAGTTGTTACAGGATTCAAAAGCAAGTGCAGCCCATGATTGAGTAGCTTTTAAACCTTATCAGCAACACATTTGTTTGATTTTTAGTCTCTGGCTCACTCTTCTTTACAGCATTGCTTTAATTCATTAAGGTTGTTGATGCGCAGCTCTCTTAAGGCCCCAGCACAGAATTTCAATCTAGTTGAGGTCTAGACTTTGACTGGACTGTTGCAGCCCTTTCAGCCGCCCTGTTGTAGATTTGCTGCTGTGTTTGGGATCATAGTCCTGTTACTTGTCCCATGCCTTAGCCATCCGACAGGTGGCCTCGCGTTTGACTCTAGAATATTTTGATATCCAAAGGTTTTATAGTTGACTCAACCACTGCAAGTCCCGTGGCTGCAAAACAAACCCAAACCACCTCTCCACCGCTGTGTTTGACAGTTGCTATGTGGTGTTTGTGGTGGTCCTAACTATAATGTTTAGCCATTGTAGCCAAATTTCTCCACTGTGGTCTCATCTGTCTGAAGGACATTGTTCCAGAGATCTTGTGGTTTGATTTGCATCTTTGCAAATCTGTCATGCTGAAATGACACCATGTTCTTTTTAGAAAGAAATGGCTTTCTGCTTAAAACTTTGCAAGCCATAAGAATATATTTAATTTTCCACAAGTCACTACAGAGTTGTGAAGAACAAATGCTCACGTGATTGTATTTCACTCAGCAGATATTTTACCTCTCCATCACAGATGTGTCATATTCTCACATTTTTCCTTTCTATACATCACAACAATCTCTTCTATGTAACCTGACGAGGGTGAGGGAGTCCTCATAGTTTGAGCTCTTTGCTGTTCTTAATAAAATAATGTTGGCTAAAATACTCACACTCGGTCATGATGACTTTTTTTTTTTTTTCTGTCTCCCCGTTCAGTCCATAGAGACTGTGAAGGTGGATGGGAGTGGCCGTTACTCCTACACAGGACTGTTCAGCAGGAGAGCACCGCAGAGTCTTGCTGTGTTTGAAAGTTTGTTTTATTGGGTTGGTAACAAAGGACTCTGGCAGGCTCCACAGACTCAACTGAGCCAGAGAAAATTTATATGGGAATCCACACTGCCAGTATTAGCTGTTTACCATGAGCTACAACAGCCTCAAGGTAAATCTTATGTTATTCTCAAACATGGTCGTTGATCACTTTTCCTATCTGAAGATCTGTTTTGAAATTTATATGCAATTTAAGCAGTTTTAAATTGGATACAAAACAAAGTTGAAGTTGTTAAATGTATTTAAAAGTTGTTAATAGAGCTTTCTTGGTCTTCATAGTGGATTGTGTTGCACCTAATAGTCTTCTCATTGTCTTCATCAGGTTATTCTGCATGTGTAAAAACACCCTGTCACCTCTGCCAGCTAACTAAAAGCAACCCTCTTGGATTCACCTGCTCTTGTCCAAACCTCAAATTGCTGTTGCTGGATGAGACATGTGAAAGTAGGTTTCCTAAAACTTTCTTTTCACCTTTGTTAGTGTAAAAAAAGACATAACTTTTAATTCTGGTCCAAACTTATTAAATCAGTTGTGGTTAAATAAAAATGCATTTACACTTTACAAGAAAACACAAAAGATGATCTGTAATATTATTCACTGTCACAGATCCACGGTTTCTCTATGCTACAAATACTGAAATCATCTTGTTGGAGTTGGAAGATAAAGGGTTCATTGAAAGCCAGCTTTTCACCACCAATGAGGGGATCCTCTCTTTTGAGCTTGACTGGGACAGAGACTGGCTTTACTGGGCAAACCAAACTGGCCACATTCAACGCATCAGTTTAACAGCGGCCACCGCTGAGCTGGTCCCAACACCTTTGCCAGGTTAGCACGGATTTGTTCACATATGTTGCTTATTACTGATGTGCAGTGACAAAAATCTTATTAAGAGTGGTGGTTCAACAGTTTAAAAAAAAAAATGTTAAGACTTAATTAGTTTCTACCTTAAATGGCTGTCAACATACCTTCTTTCAACTTATTTCTATTTCTTTTTAGTTTGTCTGATAAATGTGGACCAGAGGAGCGGAAGCCTTTATTGGGTGTCATGTCATCGAAACACCATCGGAACAATCACAGCTGACAGCTACTACCCAAAGCAGCTTTACTACACGACAAAGGAGATTAAAAACTTGTATCTGGACTGGCTGCGGGGTACCATCATCTGGCTAGAAGAAGATCGAATTCTCAGCATGAGCATGTTGGGAGGTGACGCTAAAGAGCTGCTGCACATAGCTGGAGGAGTGAGTGGGGGCATCGCTTTTGACCTCAGGGCTAATAGCCTGCTGTGGAACTCAAAAATGGCAGGTTAGTTTTATCGTTGGATTGGTGTGTGGAAGCTTGTTATGATCCATGGGGATAATAAATACATTTTTGGGGGGTTAGTTATATCAAAATTTCAGCTTATGAACTCAAACTTTGGAGAAAATAACTTTAAAATTTCCAAACCACACTCATTCAGATTTGTTTTGCATACTTGCAAATCTCAGGATTTGCAAACCACATAAAAATGATGAACTTGTCACCTCACAGACTTTAATGTTGCCTTTAATTAAGACTTTTTTTTTTTTTATGACAGGCTTAACAACATTAAATTTGCTGCGAGAGAGAAGCCACCAAGCTGGAAGAAGATGGAAGATTTTGGGCTCAGTTGTAGCTGCCCTCGAGCCTTTTCTCTTGTCAGTTTCAGACAACGTAATGACTCTGTGGGATCAGCGTGATGGGAGCCCCATTCAAGATGCAGCTGTGACGGGTCATGTGATCAGAGTAATCACTGCTCCCATAGATATTCAGACAGTTCAGAGTAAGATCATCTGTCACAGCAGAAACAGATTTATATAGCACTTTGACATTTTTCTGGTATGCATGATCATCTCATTAATTCCATTGCATTGTCTTTACATTCTCAAGCCTGCAGGAAACCATCGTTTTTGTGCAGACACTCATCAGTCTGCCTCTCAGAAGCTCAGCTGTGTGACGGGAAAAAGGACTGCCCGGAAGGAGATGACGAGTTTTGTCCTGGGGCTTGTCGGTCTATAGGTAAATGCCCAAGCTGACATTCTTGTTATAACTGGCGATGCAGCTCAAAAACATATTGAGACTTACTGATAGGTTTTTCGATCTCAGAGGAGTTCGAATGCCAGGACCGGAGCAGTTGCCTTTCCAGACGTCTTGTGTGTGATGGTCGGTCTGATTGTACCGATGGCTCGGATGAGGCTGATTGTCCAACTGCAGCTCCTCGTACAAGTCGGTCAAATGTGATGAAATGTCGCATAGGCTCAAAGCCATGTGAAGATGGCAAAGACTGTGTTTTATATAGTCACGTGTGTGATGGAGAGGACGACTGTGCGGATGGATCAGATGAACTGGGCTGCGGTGAGTTTCCTAAAACAAAATCAACCGTTTTTTGATTAGCGATGTGATGTTTTGGTGTACGTTTAGTTTTTGGCTTTGTAATGCATTTTATTATTTCGTTAGTATTCTTGTCACTGTGTTTAACGTATGACACCTTATTTGTCTTTTAAAGATGCCCTGCAACAGAACATGACTACCACAAGAACTAATATGGACCAATCAAACAAAACTCCAGGTCCTACCACTCTTTCTCCTCGAGCTCTCCTGGCCTGCACCAGTCCCTCTGTCCTCTGTCCTTCTTCTGCTTACCTCTGCATATCTCCAGACCAGTTCTGCAATGGACATAGTGACTGCCCTGACGGCTTTGATGAAAAGAACTGCGTAAAAAGTTGCCCCTCAAAAAGTAAGCACCAAATCAGTATTTCATTTTCTCAGTTTAAAAATATTTAGCATTTTATGTCTTCAAAAGTTTGACACTGTATGTCCTGTTTAATAATTTTATTCCAGATGACTTTCTTTGCAAAGATCATCGCGGCTGCGTATCTAAAAGCCTGGTTTGTGACGGTGAATTTCATTGCTACGACGGCTCTGATGAGGTCGACTGTTCGAGTGCAGCCACGGCTGCTCCTGGGAGAAACATTCTGAAATGCCGTTTGGGGTTCACAGTCTGCAAAGATGGGAATCAGTGTGTCCTCAATATCAGCGTCTGTGATGGAGAGAAAGACTGTCAAGATGGATCAGATGAAGAACGATGCAGTTAGTATCTATGCCAAGTTTCTTTTCAAGTTTTATATATTGCCGTTAAAATAATTTTAAATTTCTGCTTCTTGGTGTCATTTTTCTAGATGATGCAGAGAGAGATTCTACAATGCAAATAGAGAGACGGCCCTCAAATGATTCTCCTGTACTCCTCACACCGTCCATTAAACCTCACTACAAGCTACCTTGCAGCAGTCCTTCAATTCTGTGTCCAGATTCCTCTTTGTGCATTAAACCAGCACAGATATGTGATGGAAGAAAAGACTGCCATGATGGATCTGATGAGAACTGTGTGAAAGGGTGTCCTTTTGAGGACTTTCTCTGCAAGGACCGAAGGAGCTGTGTCTCCAAGAGTCTGGTCTGTGATGGACT